TCCTCCCAGTACCAGGCCCGGCTGGACGTCGTGCGCCTCATCGACGGGCTGGTCAATGCCTGCATTCGCTTCGTCTACTTCTCTTTGGAGGATGAGCTCAAAAGCAAGGTGGGGAGAGCCACCCCCTCTGCCGCCACCGATCCTTGTTCCCACGGGCCTCGGGGCCCCTCGTTCATGGCCATCTGCCTTCCGCAGGTGTTTGCAGAGAAGATGGGCCTGGAGACAGGCTGGAACTGCCACATCTCCCTCACACCCAATGGGGACATGCCTGGCTCCGAGATCCCTCCCTCCAGCCCCAGCCACGCTGGCTCCCTGCACGATGACCTGAATCAGGGTGAGGGCAAAGGTTTGTGGTGGGGACAAGGTGGGGGTGGGTGACTCCCCCCACCTTGGAGCTGTTCCAGAAAGAGCCCCATAGAGCCCTCCTGATACATACATTCCCTTGGAAAATGGCTCAGATCTCCCTGTGGTAACAGCAGCTGACAGGGGAGGGGGTGGGGACCTGCGGGCAGGAAGTTCTATGCCATTTGCAGGGCAAGGAAAGGCCTCCAGAAGGCTGGCCCCAAGGTGAGGGACGGCCTTTCATCCCCACAGTGTCCCGAGATGATGCAGAAGGGCTCCTGATGATGGAGGAGGGCCATTCCGATCTCATCAGCTTCCAGCCTACGGACAGTGACCTCCCCAGCTTCCTGGAGGACTGCAACCGGGTACGGCAGCAGGTCTGCGCCCCCGGCCCCTGGAAGTGGCACATGGCAGAGGAGGGAGGGTCACGGGCATCTCTGCTTTTTCTCCAGGCCAAGCTGCCCCGGGGCATCCACCAGGTGCGGCCCCACCTGCAGAACATCGACAACGTGCCCCTGCTAGTGCCCCTGTTCACTGACTGTACCCCCGAGAGTGAGTACTGTGGCCACAGTGACTCGGGCAGCCCGTTCCCTTCCACTGAGCGCTGACAAGCCTGGGACCCCGTGAGCTCTTGAGGAAATGTGGGCCTCCCCTGCAGGGAGCAAAGGCACCTGGGCTGGGAGGAGCTGGGGAGTCTAGTGGGCTGGAGCCATGGGCGTGCCCAATCCGGGGAGTCAGAAGTGTCAGGATTGGGTAGGATAGTCACAAAGGGGGAGCCCACTTCCTGTCTCCTCCTGTCCTGGGGGTCTCTGCCCAGCGCCCTGCAGGGGGCTCCGCCGGCCTGATTTGTGGTCGACTCTGCCCTCAGCCATGTGCGAGATGATCAAGATCATGCAGGAGTACGGGGAGGTGACCTGCTGCCTGGGCAGCTCTGCCAACCTGCGGAACAGCTGCCTCTTCCTCCAGAGCGATATCAGGTCAGGGCACCGCCTCTGCCTCCCGGAACCCCAGATTGGGTTTGCATGGGGCTGAGCGTATATTATGGCCGATCTTGCCCTGGTTGAGGGGACCAAGGGACCTGGGCATGGTGGGGAGAAGAGGGAGCAGGTGCTCGCCCCGTCCTGTGGGAGATGGGGTGTCTTGAAGTACAGCTGATGGGTGCGTTCCCCCTGTGCTGCTCAGCATTGCCCTGGACCCCCTGTACCCATCCCGCTGCTCCTGGGAGACCTTCGGCTATGCCACCAGCACCAACATGGCCCAGGCCTCGGATGGCCTTTCTCCCCTGCAGCTCTCGGGGCAGCTCAACAGCCTGCCTTGCTCCCTGGCCTTCCGCCAGGAAGAGACCATCAGCATCATCCGCCTCATCGAGCAGGTGGGGCTTGGGCTGGTGGTGGGAGCGGGGGTGCAGGGCCTGCTTGGGGTGGGGGGCTATCAGGACACAGGATCCATCTGGGTTGCCTCCGGGCAAAGCTCTCCCGGGCGGGCGGCTTGGTTTGCAGGAGCATTGGGGCATCTGGCTCCTGGCTGAGGTTTGTCAGCTATAGGGTCTGAGCGAGGCCACAATCTGTCCTTCCCGGCCCCTAGGCTCGGCATGCCACCTACGGCATTCGCAAATGCTTCCTCTTCCTGCTGCAGTGCCAGCTCTCTCTCGTGGTCATCCAGGTGAGCCAGGCCAGCACAGACATTGTCCCCTCCCCGCCTGCTTCTTTGCTCAAGGGCCTGAGTCTGAGGCCAGTTGAGAGCTGGGAGGATGCCGCACAGCCTAGGGGCCCCCAGAGCCCCTCTGACACCGCTGGGCTTTTGGAGATGACCCCTGAGCAGAATAGTGTCCCCTCCAGCCCCAGCTCCACTAGGCCAGGACATGAGCGTCTGTCTGGGCCCAGGGCGAGGCAGCCTCGGGGCTCCCAGCGTCCTGTTTGTCAGAATCTAACCGTGCTTCCGGGGCTCTCCTGGCCCAGTTCCTCTCTTGCCTAGTCCAGCTGCCACCACTGCTCAGTACCACCGACATCCTGTGGCTGTCCTGCTTTTGCTATCCCCTGCTCAGGTGAGAAGCCGGCCGGCCCTCTGTGCCCAGGCAGGCGGGGTGGGAGGTCACCGAGCACCCCAGGAGCCCGGGTTCAGGGAGCCCTGCTCAGTGCTCACCTCCTCTCGCAGAGGGAGCATGGGTGTGTGTGTGTGTGTGTGTGTGTGTGTGTGTGTGGTGGTGGGTGCCCCTTTGTCTTATCCCTCCTGCCCACCAACCCTGACCCAAGACTCCGAAAAGGCTTTTCACATGGGAATTGGGAGACAGAGGGTCATGGCGCCGCCCTTCACCCAGTCTCTGCTTTTCAGCATCTCTCTGCTGGGGAAGCCCCCCCATAGCTCCGTCATGTCTGTGGCAACAGGGAAAAACCTTCTCTCCATTCCTAAGAAGGTAAGCGAAGTGGACCTGTGAGCCTGGGCCTTTCCCAGGGAACGAGCATAGAAGAGGCTGATCCTTGAGGCAGGGAGTGATCAGATGGGCTTCCATCACAGTGCCCCCCACCAAAGGGAGGTGGGGGGACAGAGCTGGGAAAGATCCTCGCCAGGGTGGGCAGTCCATGCTCTGTTCCCCCATCCGGGCTGCCCACTCACTAAAGAGCCTGTTGAATCCGAGTGCCAAGTGCCAGAGGGGCCGTGGCCTCTGGAGTGACAGGCCTCCTGCTTCCCACAGACCCAGCACTACTTCCTGCTCTGCTTCTTGCTCAAGTTCAGTCTCACCATCGGCTCGTGCCTCATCTGCTTTGGCTTCACATTGCAGAGCTTCTGTGACAGCTCCCGGGCCCGCAACCTCACCAACTGCTCCTCCATCATGCTGCCCAGGTGAGTCCCGCCCCCGGCCCACCTCGCCCCCAGGCCACCCCCGCAGGGCCCGGAGAGGGCTGAGTGCACACCTTGCTTTGGCAGCCATGCAGACACGGCTCCAGCCTGGTTTGATGACTTTGCCAATGGGCTGCTACTGGCTCAGAAGCTCACTGCCGCCCTGATCGTCCTGCACACTGGTAAGGGCTCCTGGAAGGGGGCCAGTGGTGGCCGGTGGGGTGCCCTGGGGACCAGGCCTTGGGCCATGGCAAGTCTGACGCCCCCTCTGATCCCATGTTCTCCAGTCTTCATTTCTGTCACCCACGTGCATCGCACCAAGCCCCTGTGGAGAAAGAGCCCCTTGACCAACCTCTGGTGGTCCATGACGGTGCCCGTGGTGTGAGTGTGGCTCAGCGGGAGGAGGGGGCGGGGGCTGGGGCAAGGCTATGACTTGAGGGTGGGGTTTGGGCGGAGATTGAAGGGTGTCCTTCTTGAGCTACTGCTGTACTGAGAAAAGCAGGGAAGGGAGCGAGAAGTCCCAGGTTGACCCGGCGCTGCCATCCCCTCCTGCAGGCTGCTGGGGCAGGTGGTCCAGACGGCAGTTGACCTGCAGCTGTGGACGCACAGGGACAGCCGCGTCCACTTTGGCCTGGAAGACGTGCCTCTGCTGACGTGGCTCCTGGGCTGCCTGTCCCTGGTCCTCGTGGTGGTCAGCAACGAGATTGTGAAGCTGCACGAGATCCGGTGAGCCACCAGCAGGGCACTCCCTCTGGGCTGGGCCTGCTCCCTAAGCCTGGCATCCCCTGGGCATCATTCCCTCACCTCCTGGCTAACCATCCCTGCCTCCTCCTGTGGCCTGCCCTGACCCCTGATTTAATCTCCGCCCCCCCCCCCCGCCCCCCAGGGTCCGGGTCCGCTACCAGAAGCGACAGAAGCTGCAGTTTGAAACCAAGCTGGGCATGAACTCTCCCTTCTGAGCCATCGGTCTTGGTGGTCACAGTACCAGACCCATTTCTGAGTCTGGGGAGTTGGTATCATGAATGTTTCAGGGTTTGCTCTTGTGCCCCATGGCCCTGGAGGCCCAGATCCCCATGCCAGACCCAGCTATCGTCTTGACCCTAGGGCTACTGTGGAGTGAGGAGCCAAGGCCGTGTGAGGACAGCCCTGGCTCTTCCCTGGGCCTCACCAGGGGCCTTCTCGAATGTCTGACCTCATGTGCTTTGCACAGGGGCTCCCAGCCCACTCCTGGGGGCTGTCCCTCTTCAGGGTGCACTAAGCCAGTGCCCTGTGCTCTGGGGCCCCTGGGCGGGGCTGTGAACGTGGGGCCAGGGCCTCAACCTTTTTTGAAGGAACATTGGCAGCAGCTGTGGGGGGGTCCAGTCAACCCTCAAGGTCGCCATGGAAGGCCAGGGTGACCCTCCATCCTGTCTTCCTGGGGCAGGGACCCGGATGTGGCCAAGCACTTCCCCTCCTCCCTCTGTAGGGGAGCCTCACAGGACCTGAAGGTGAAGGACCCCGCACCCTGGAACCTCTCCCTGTGCCTGCCTCGAGCTGGCCACCAGTCAGTCTCGGGGACCCGCCCAGGGCTCCTCCAGCCCCTGATGGTTCTGTGAGAATGTTTTTACTGGTGTATATTTTTTACTGGAAATGAGCCTTTTAGGAATGAATGTAGACTGGTTTGTATTAAAACTTATAAATTGCGTAAGAAAAACCTGTGGTTGGTCCATGAGGCAGCCACTAAGGGGAGGAGAGGAGGGCTTGAGCCTTCCTCCTTCCGCCACGACCGAGCCCAGGGTTCCGGCTGAGGTGCACAGCACAGATCCAAGCACACAGGCGACCACGTGGAATGACACTTTCATTGGCGTTAGTTGGGGGAAGAGGTTAATTTACAGAGCCAGGGCCCGGCCAACCAGGTCAGGCTTCCAGCCCCGAGCTGGGCAGTGGGCACTCTTGCTGTGGCTGGAAGCCCCTCCCCACTGCGTCTTCTCAGGCAGTTATAGAATAAATTCTGTTTAAAATATATGCATTTCTCTCTGCTTAAAAAATAACATTTACAGTTGAAAAAGTTTGGACTTTGGGGGTCTATTAATCCCGCTGCCTCCACCCTGCCAGCTTTGCCTTGCAGACAGGGGAGGAACTGGTGTCTGGCCTGGGCACTGCCACCTCCAGCACGCAGGCCCTGGTGTTTATTTACATGTCCTATGTACACCTGTGGGACCCGGCCAGACACACCGCTCCTCCAGCCTCTGCACCGGACACCACAGCGGGTGGCAAGAGGCCCTTGGCACAGGAACGGAGACACTTGCGGGGGGAGGGGCACAGAAGCTGCCACCACCTTTCTCCCTGGGTGGGAGCTCTTACCAGGGCCCCTGACCAAAGGGTAGGACTCTTTGCTCAGGTTAGACACTGGGAGGGGTTTTGCTGAGCTATCAGGTTCTGACAAGCTCCCTTGGCCCCCCAGGGGGCGGCCCCCCTGGAACTGCAGTGCCAACAGCCACTGGCTCGGAGCAGCAGGAGGGACCCTGCTAGGGCGGCAGGAACGTCTGTGTTGGGGCAAAGGCAATGGACGCTGCAGGTAGGTCTAGCTCAGTCCAGCATGGCGTCCAGCTGGTCAGCCAGGGCGTCAAACATGGTGCTGATGTCATCCAGGATGTGCTTGGTGGAGGTGCTGGGGGGGCTGTAGGGGGGGAGCACCGGGTCAGATCGGCCAATAGAACACCCCGCCAGCCCTGGGCAAGGGCCCTGCCTCTGAGCCTGGTTGGTGCCAAGTGCTTTCCAAGAAGGAGTAGCTGTCCCTTCCTTACACGAGGGCACTGGGGCTCAAATGACTTGTCCAAGCTCATGTGCCTCTAAGTGGCAGCGGCCAACTTCCCTGCAGGTCAGACCTGGGTGACCAAGACCTGGGCTCCTCCCCTTCCAACAGGGGATCCCCAGACTGAGGATCTGCCTGTGAGGTCCCTGCCCCCCAACCCCAGGACCCCTGGAAAGAGGATATGGGAGGAATTTTCCCTATGCCGCCACCTTCTCCCCCTCCCTGCCCAGCAGCCCTCACCCCTCTCGCTCCTCAGCGCCAATGCTCTTCTCCGCGGCCCGCAGTGCGGCTGCCAGGGACGAGCTGGTCCGTTCCAGTCTCTGCTGGGCCTGGCCCGAGCCCACAGCCCCTGTGCTCTCTGGACGGGGAGGCGGTACAGGGCGGGGGCCAAGTCGGGGAGCCAGCTTAGGGCCAGAAAATGCCAGCTGGGTGCAGGCCACAGACACAGGCTTGGGAGCTGTTCCTGCAGAGACAGGTTGGCTTGTGACTCAACTGGGCTGGACACAACCCCTGCCAACAGTGCCCGGTCCCCGCCTCATACCTGCTCCAGGCACCTTGATGAGGGCAGCGGGCGGAGCTGGGGGCTCTGGTTCCCCACGCTGCCGACTGCCTGCCGAGTTCTCCAGAGCTGGCCCAGGGCAGGGGGGCTTGGAGGGCTGGGTGGGAGGGCTGGGAGGGAGAGGGGCTGCAGCACCTTGAGTTGGAAGGCTGCTAGGGTCTGGCTGAGGAGGGCAGGGAGAAGCCACAGGGGACTCGCTGGGGGTCTGGGAGGGCATGGGGGCAGAGGGGCTGGGCATGGCGGTGGCCACTCCGAAGGCCAGAAGTGCCGTCTGCAGCGGCTCTCTCTCCCGGCATTTGGGCCTCCGCTTAACAGTGTCTGACTCTGTGAGGTTGAAGTCGAGGCCGGTGGGCACTGGCGTCTCCCGGGACGGGGGCCCGGCCGGCTTGGGCCGCTGTTTGATAGTCAGGTTCCCCTCCTCCGCAAACGGGAGCCCCTCCCCCGAGCTGCCCCGGGATGGGGGGGTCCCCTCGGGCCCCGGATCCTCCTCTTCCTCCGTGTCTGATGCGGGGCCCGCTGGGGCAGGTGGGCCCGGGGGCTCTGATGGGCCAGCTGGTTCACTCAGTGTTCGCCTTCGGGGCCCCGGGGCCCCCTCTTTGGGCCCTAGGCTTCCATCTAGTGGAGGTGGCTCCGGGGTGGGGCCAGGGACAGAGCTGAGGCGCTTTGGAGGAGGTGGGGGGGGGCCTTTGCGTCGGGCCCGAAGGGCAAAGGACTGGCTACGGGGAGCTCCTCGAACTGGGGTCTGGCTAGGGCTGGGCCGGGCTAGGGTGCTGCGTCCTGGTCGCCGGGTGAGAGTGGCATAACTGCCCAAAGCACTGCCCACCGGCCCTTCGGCCTCCCCCTCGGCTTCCCCCTCGGCCGGGCCTGGGCGGCTCAGGCTGTGGGACCGGCGCTTGGGCC